TTATTGTTACTTCTATTCCAATACTCCCTCATTTCTCCCAGGAGATGAAATTGTCCTCAAGGTTTGCAGCTAATTTAACAGTAAAACTTTAATTAAATGAGAATTTCAGCATCTCTTGAGAGCAGTATTTGTGGATAATTGCCTTTTTAAAAAATCTGCCCAGAGCCCAATCTCATTCTCATTAGAACCCTGATTCCTTTTGATGTCATCAGAGTGGGAGGGTAATTCCATGTTCCCACCTTTCATTGTACAAGCTGACAGGAACAGATTCTTTCTCTCTCTACTCTAGGAGATAGCTGGGGTGGGGGTGGGACGGGGCAGCTCATAATCTAAGTTCTATCAATCAAAGTTCCTCTCCCAGGAATCTGAATTAAAGATGAGCAATGCAACAATGGGAGTAATGTTCAGAGGGAATTCATCACAGTGGCAGCATCCTACCCAGGTCGCAGGAAAATAGTTTGGGTTAAGATGCATTTCAGGTAAAATGCAATGTGTAAAGTTGCTGAGTTTAGAGAAATGTGCATAGTCCATCAAGGTGAGGAGGAGGAGATTGCTTACCATTTGTATTCTGGTAACCACAAGTATGAGCTGAGAACACAGGTCTACTAAATGGAGCAGAAAGTCCCACTGACACTCAACTGTACACATACCACTGGCTCGTTGCCTTTTCTCTGGGTCTTCTCATGTTAATGATATTGGAAAAGACTGAATGAAGTAAATAGTAATCAGGGGCAGAGATAACACATGTGTTCTAGTTCAGCTTTGGGAGAGCTCTGGGAAAAGTTTAGAAGATATTTGTATAATAAACAAAAGATGAGATCATGAGAGAGACAGAATTGGGTTGTACGTAAGAGTCGTATTGGCCTATGGTATCAAGAAATTTTTGGATAAAACAGACCTCTTATATGTCCTCTGGCTTTAGTTAGAGTCACTATAAAGAATCCAAATATTTTGTGTGCCCGTGTTGGTACACCTGCCCTGTCTGGTGTCAGTCTTTCATAGGAGGAAGCCCTAAGGAAGTAGGGTAAGTGACTCAACAGCTTGGCTCCCGGGCAGGACAGTATGAGCTGCAGAAGCTCTAAGAACACAGCCTGAACAACCTGCTCTGAGCTCAGGGGGCTTTCATTGTAACAGAGCACACCTGGCACATGCACTACCAGAACTGACTAATCATCCCTCAAGGAATTTTCAAAGGGATGCCCCATGAAGGCCAGTACATCCTTAGTTTGATAAAAGGCCAGGTTCAGGAGTGGAAGCCTAGGAACAGGAGCTTCAATTCTGATTGATGCAGATCAGAATGTTATTCTAAGGGGAGGGATAAAGGCTGAGAAATGGGGGGGGGGGGAGAACAAGAATGTCAGTTTATAGGTTTGCCGTGGAGATGACCATAATAGTAGGGCAACTGCCCAGACTAGCCCATGTGTCGCTTCATGAAGCTATAACTTAAAGAACGTTGAAATGGACAACTTGACCCTTACTCATGAATTTACCAATTATTGGAAGAGCAAGATGTAACCAATAACCAATCGCTAACTCATGTCATGCTAGACAATCAATGGAAAGCCTGACGTACTAATTAAGGGGTTGTCCCTTTCCTCCCTTTTGTCATTACAAAAATGCGGACGCTCTGTCTGTACTTTGGAGCACATTGCCAAGGCAACTTGGCTTGTGTTCCTTAGCCTGCAGTCCTCATGTTGGTGCAAATAAACTCTGATATTTTATCAGTGCTTTGATTTCTTTCCTCAGGTTGACAAAGGTAAGTTCTGTTTTGACTGATCTCATTACTAGTTTAATTCTGTATGATTTTAAAGTAGTGAAATAGTACTTTTCATATTATGTAGCTGATCTATAGTTAATTAATCAATTCCACAAATATTTATTGAACACTTACCATGGGTTAGATACTGGAGAGACAGCAGTGAACAAAACAAACAAAATTCCCTTCCCTCAGAGAGTTATCAATGCTAATGATATTTTTAAACATAAGGAAGGGAGATATGGGCTCTTATGGGAGTGATTTTCTTATTGGAAAACTTCTTATGGGAGTGATTTTCTTATTCTTTTTGATAGGGTGGCAATAAAATCCTGACTACTTGATTTTTAAGTAAAGACCTGAACAAGTAAGGGAGCTAGTTAGTCTTTTAAAGAACTCACAGTGCTTTTACATGTTTATCAGAAATTTCATAATTTGCAAACACAGGTTTTCAGCAGTGAAAATTAAAATAGTAACACAGAATCAGCAGCAGAACAAATAGAAATTAAGATGAAGCATTTTTGGAAATAATTTAATTCAATAGAAAATAGGATTTGATTTACCAAAACATATTTAAATCCAAAGTGTTTCCATCAAGTTTTTGTTAGTACCAAAACGCCAGATTAGTTATCCGAACAAACAATTTGCAAAGTAATGTTTTCCTTACCTCAGGTCCCCAGGCGTTTCCTAATGGGAGATGCTTGTTTAGCTCAGTCATTGACTTCCAAGTCTGTGCTTCATTTAAACAACCACTCTGTCAAAGGATGGCATATATATATATGGATATGTAGAAGTTTTTATATCAACTTATTGCTAAGCATTTAATATATCTTACTACCATGAAAAATTTTATATATTTAAAAATTTTATTATTTAAATGTTACTGGTATACAGAGGAACAATTGACTTTTGTATATTGACCTTGTATCTAGAGAACTTAAATGTACTCATTAATTCTAATTATTTCACGTGAACAGTTGCGTCACCTGTGAATATGACAGTTTTACTTCTTCCTTTCCATTCCTTGTGTCTTTTATTTATTTTTATTTTATTGCCTTTTTACAAAGATTTCCAGGAACAGTGTTGCATAGAAGTGATGTTAACAGCCACCCTCTTTTATTCCTGATTTCAGAGGAAAGGCTTTCACATTCTCACCATTAAGTATAAAGTGTGCTATAAGTTTTTGTATCTATATTTTACTAGGTTAAGCAAGTTACTATTTATAATTTTCTAAGATTTATTTTGAAACAATATAAATGGTAAATTTCTAATCAAAAATTTTCTTCAATTATTACAATCACTTTATGCCTTTTCTCCTTTATTCTGTTAACATGGTGAATTACTTTGATTTTAAAATGATATACCAACTTTCCATTCATGCGATAAACAAAACTTGGTCTGTATGTATTTATTATTCTTTAAGAATTTTTTTTCTTTAACTTTTCTAGATCAGTTCGTTTAATAAGTCTTTTCAAAGAACAAACTTTTGGCTTTGTGGATCCACTTTATCCTGTTTGNTTTCTTTCTTTCTTTCTTTCTTTCTTTCTCTTTTTATTTATTTATTTGTTTTTTGTTTGTTTGTTTGTTTGTTTGTTTTTTAGCTCCCACTTATAAGTGAAGATGTGCAGTATTTCTCTTTCTGTGCCTGGCTTATTTCACTTAACATGATATTCTCTAAGTTTATCCATGTTGCTGTGAATGGCAGAATTTCATTCTTTTTTATGGCAGAGTAGTATTCCTTTGTGTATGTATACCACATTTTCCTTATCCAGTCCTCGGTCAATGGACATTTAGGCTGGTTTGAACTCTTCCAACTCTTATGATAAACACGGGAGTGCAAGTATCCCTTTGACATGATGATTTACATTCCTTTGGGAATATACCAAATAGTGGGATTGGTAGATTCTATGGCAGTTCTATCTGTAGTTGTTTGAGAACCTCCATACTGTTTTCCATAATGACTGCACTAATTTACAGTCCCACCAGCAGTGTAGCAGGGTTCTCCTTTCTCCACATTCTTGCCAGCATGTTATTTTCTGTCTTTTTGATAACAGCAGGTCTAACTGAGCATTTTTTCATATGCATGTTGACCATTTGTATATTTTCCTTTGAGAAATGCTTATGCAGCTCCTTTGTCCATTTTTTGATCCAATTACTTGTTTTTTTAATGTTGTTTGAGTTCCTTGTATATACTGGATATTAATCCCTTGTCAGACATATAGTTTGCAAATATTTCCTTCCACTTTATAGGTAGTCTTTTTGCTCTGTTGTTTCTTTTGATGTGCAGAAGTTTTTTTTTTTTTTTGTCTTTTTGTCTTTTTTCGTGACTGGCAACTGATCGCAACCCTCAGTGTCGTGCCCGTACCGGACCGGGACCGGCCACGGGATCGGCCATGGGATCGCAACCCTCGGTGTTGCCCCCGCTCCTCGCTCAGCCAGTGAGCGGCTGGTCTGTATGTGAGATCCGAACCCTCGGCGGGAGCGCC